TTATTTCAAAACATGGGGAGAATTTAAAGGTACAAGAAGAAAATGTAAGTTAAATTTAAAAATCAGATTGCTGTTAGCATTGTGTTGTGACCACTCTCATCTTTGCTGTGCGGAGCTGGGTGTCATCGGAGACCTAGCCTCGGAGACAGTGACGTTGAGGGGGCTAGGAAATATTTGTAGGTACGTGTTGTTCAATCTGTTTTCCCAGAGCTGTCCGTGATGGCATTTCTATTCTGGAAGCTGTTTTGTCTTATGGCCTTCAGCTTTTCTAATATTGAGAACCTGGGTTATTCTCCAGGACCAAGCTGGATTTTTTTTTTTTTTTTACGTCAAATTAAGTCATCGGGATGTGGTAGAATTCATTTAGAAAATGTTCACTAAACGACTGCCTCGGGCATACATACATTAGTAAAATGTTTCCTACTCCCTGAGAATTTATAGTCTGAAGGCAGTGTTAAGAAAGTTCCACAAATAATATAGTGAAGAGAAGAGAAAATCCTCAGGTTTCAGAGAAAGGAAAGTCACATTTAACTTGAGATGCCAGGAAAATAATTTGTATTATTTTTTATATTTGTATTATTGATTTGTATTTGCCTTCCTCCTTTTTTTGAGAGGGGGGCTTTTGTGGAGGGTGGGTCGGGAGAGTTCTGTGGGGAAACGGCAGGAGCAGGTGCCTTTGGGAGACAGCTGTCGGCCTGATGCAGCCTGAATTGGGAGCCTGCAGATGTCCCTGTGAGCAAAAGCCTCAAGGACGGGCCTGGGGAGCAACGAAGGCTTTTGGACGTTGGAATAAAATGGTAGTCACACGTGGGGAGAAACAGTCCGTGGTGCTGCTTTATGAACGTGTGTGGAGAGAGCTTTGAGGTACAACTGGAAGGTGTCAGGTTGTCGGGATGCTTTAGCGGGGATGAGACTCTAGGCAAGTTAACTCCCTTCTCAATGCCTCAGTGTCCGCATCTGTAAAATGGAATAATGCTGTTGGTGCAGGTGGAGGATTAAATTAGCTCCTGTAAACTGCTTCAGAAATTTTATTTGTGGTAGAGGTTGTTGCGGTCCGTTAACCAGCGGCAGCAGAAGAAAGCCTGCACTGTCAGAAAGGGCATTGGTGACGTTTGTAGGGAGTTTCTTTGAAGTTTGATTTTTTTTTTTTTAAGATTTTATTTATTTATTTGACAGAGAGAGCGAGCAGGAGCAGGGGAAGGGGCGGAAGGAGAAGCAGACTCCTCACTGAGCAGGGAGCCTGACTCGGGACTCCATCCCAGGACCCCGGGATCATGACCTGGGCCGAAGGCAGACGCTTAACGACTGAGCCCCCAGGCGCCCCCTGATTTTTTTTTTTTTTTATTATATGTTTACATGGAAGCTGATAGCATTTTTCTAATTTGATTTTTTTGTTGTCAGATGTCCCTAATAACATCCTTATTAGGTGACAGAACAGTAACCTTCTGACAGGAGTTTTCTCCTGAGGCTTTCAGCATACCGGGACCTTCTGGCAAACCTGCGACACGTTTGAAAGTCAGCGTGTTAGGACGAGGTTTCTTTGCTCCCGTGATAAAAATGGTATTGCAGATCCCTTTAGGAAGTCAAAGCCAACTGAAGTATGAGAAGGTGAGGTTCCTGTGAAGAAAAGTGGCAAAAGAGGAGTTCATGTAAAAACAAAAGAAAGGTACTTATAGTCCGTCCGCTTTTCTAAAGCAGAGACAGCATTTAGTTGGGGTGTGGTTTGCGTCAGGAAAACGTCCGGTTCCGGAGACAACGGCCTGTTTCATGAGATGTCTTCAGTTCCTGAGATCAAAGTGTTTTTTAGTTCCTTACAAAAGAAGAGAGGAGAACTGTCACAGAGCTGGGCTGCTTGGAAGAGCTCACACTGATACCTTTTTTTTTTCTTTAAGATTTTATTTATTTATTTATTTGACGGAGAGAGAGAGCGAGAGAGGGAACACAAGCAGGGGGTGTGGGAGAGGGAGAAACAGACTCCCCGCTGAGCAGGGAGCCCGATGCGGGGCTCGATCCCAGGACCCTGGGACCATGACCTGAGCCGAAGGCACATGCTTAACCATCTGAGCCCCCCAGGCGCCCCTAGACTGATACCTTTGAAGAGGGGTTTTGAAGGTCAAGGATGTCTCTGCTGGCTGCCACTTCTCTCGCTTTCCAGTTGACTTGTCCTTACCCCTGAGCAGGAATGTCCGGTGTTGTTTTTGGAGCAAAATTGAGGCTTTAGTTTCTGAATCAGCCATGAGGAGTCATCCATTTCTCCCTATAATCCTAGACTGCCACCTTCCTATTCTTGATCCTACCAGCTTCCTGCCAAAGATTTTTGCCTTATTTTCTCCCTGCTTTTGACGAGCTTAACCCCACCCTGTGTGTCACTGAAACAGCATGCCACCCCACCCCGCTGAAATAAAGCAAGAATTTTAGAACACAGATGTGATCTCAGATGAAGTCGGACTGGAGTCCACTTGGGTGTGTCCACACCCCAGCTGTGTTGAAGCTTGGGGTGGCTTCCGACGGCTCTGCTCTTTCTTTGCATAATACCTGGTTTTGCTGTCTTGTAGCTGGAAAATAATGCCACTAAAATACCAGAATGATAGTGTTGAACCAAGATGAGCCATTTCAAATGGCCAGATTCTGTAATACCACTTTCAGCGTGAATGTCTTCTTAAACCCACAGTTATTCCCAAATTCAGGACCTTTAGGATAGTGGGACTTAATCTTAGGTGTTTTCAGGTGAAATGGAGAAAAATCATGCTGCCCTTGCAGACCTCATGCATTTATACAAGAATTTGAAGGAATTCATGACATTTGACATCGTTGGTTATACACGATTATGCTTCAATCCTAAATTTTGCGAAGAAGTAGAAATATTTTCAGTGCCAGCAGGACGTGGGTATCTACGTGCTTTGTTACGTACTTGAGGTTTTGTCTAGGAGTAGAACAAGGCCCCTTGTCAGGATCTTGACACGGGAATCCATCCCGTGAGAAAATGGAGCTCTCTGGAAACACTTGCTGCTAATCCTCTACAAGGTGGTTGAGATTCATAATGGTGACTGAGAACATTTTATGTAGCAGAAGTGCTTTTAAGTCGTTGAAGAAGGGTGCAAGTATGTTCAATATAACTTGGCATCTTACTTCACCACTTTGCACCCACGTCCTCCCGTGATCCCAGGTGCCTCTGACCCGCCGACACCCTTCCTCACAGCCCGTGACCTCCTCCCCTCCCCCGTCCTCCCCACTTCACTCGTGAGCGCCACGCCTGAGCCCTTGTCATCTCCTGGAACAGCGTCTGCTGGGGTGGAATCACATTCCCTCATCCCGCTCTGAGCAGCCCCCTTCCACTTTCTCTCCTTGGAAGGACCAGGGCCTCCCAGCCACACATCCCTTGGCTGGCAGAGTCCAGCGCTGCAGCTGGGCCCTGGCAGGACCCTCGCGGCCGTCTGTCCCACCTTGCGGCTCGCCTGCCCGGAAAGCCTGCAGCCCCACCGAGCACCAGCTGCCCCCCTTCTCCGCACGTCTGGGCTGCAGAGAGAGTCCCGAAGCTGGTCTGCGTGGCACCACCAGCAGCTCATGACCTTCACTCTCGCTGGGCTCTTATCAGTCCTGTGGGCTTCCATTTAATGTCTCAAGTTGTTTCTCTATTTCCGAAGCCTGACCCTGACCCGTGCCCTCCAGATACTTGTCTACAGTGCCTGTCCGACCATCTCATGCACCCTCTTGAGGCCTTCCGTGGCCCCTCATTGCCCTGAGAACAAAATCTGAACTCCATGGTCGGACCTCGAAGGCTCTCTGTGACCTGGTTTTGGTTCGGTGTAGTTCCCTGGACTCCTCCGTCACCCCCCCTCGTCACACGACATTTGCTGGCTGCTTTGAACTATGTGCAGTTTCTGGTGGTGAACACGAGCCTTCTCGTCTCCTTGAACTTGCTGGCCCTTTATCTGGAACACTTTCCCCGGCTCCTGGTCCCACTCCCCTCCAGATATAGTCTTTATTGCTCTCCAGGTTTTAGCATCAATGCTAAGACCCCTCCGCTGCTCTCTCCCCACCAGAGAGTAAGTTCAGTGTCCTTTCTGCCGCCCCACACTCCCACCCCCACCCTGTGCTTCTCCTGTATTAAGACTTCTCCTTTTATAATTGCCTATTTATCTGGTTCTCACGGGAGATGGCTCACTGGGAACACAGGCACGATACCTGTTTTGTTCACAGTTGTATACCGAGTACCTGGTAGCTGGTCTTGCCACACTGTAGACATTTAATAAAAATTTGGGGGTGAATTAAGGGATTCATAAGTTGCTCGTTACATGATTACTGGGTGATAAGTAGGAGAGCATCAGCTAACGTTTATTGAGACTTTACCAGGCACCAGGGATTGTTTTAATCATCTCACAGGTATTAATTTCTTTCTTTCTCGCAGCTAGGGTAGGTCCTCCCACTTTGCTAGTTCTATGAATAATGAAGCTTGGGGGATGGTTGGCTGTGCCTTTAACTACTACTTCTGTCCTGCTTCTGCACTGTGCGCGGGGCCTTGTTAGCTCCGAGGATGAGCATGGGGCCTGGGTGTGCTCTCTGGCCCAGAGGACTTCTCGTCAGAGGGGAAGAGATAGTAAAAGGAACATGCTCTTTCTCAGTGGCCATTCGTATGCGGTACTGTGGAAGGACAGAGGGGATTTGTATTTTAATTTTTTAGAAGTTAGTGATTTATATTTAGTATACACCTAATCTAATACTAGAACACACTGTTTTCTAGCCATTCTAATAGAGTCGAATGTTACAAAACAACTCAATAACCCTAACCCTGAGCTTACAAAAGGGAGTTAAATAAAGAAGTTTATTAAGTTCCGGTAGATCTCCAGCTTCTTAGTGCTCAAAAAATGGAATTACTTTTACCAAAATTGAAGTGGCACCCATCTTTGGTTTTAAGAAGGGCATATCACCAAATAGAGTTCTGTGTGCAGGGGCAAAAAAACCTTGATTTTTGAAATTTATTGTTACTGTTGATCTTACAGGCGAATCATGAAAAAAGTCTCCATGGAGCCATCTGACCGACTGGCCAGTCTCCAGGCTCTGTGGGACAACCAGACCGTGGCCGAGCAGGGCCCCTGTGGTGAGCATGCATTTTAAAACCAAATTATAAATGGCTGCATGGATGTCCCCCTGCCAGGAAGTTACGTCTATTCCTAGTATGTTACTGTAAAGGTGCAATTAGTCTTAAGGTGTAATTAGCACCGCACAGACTTTAGATTGGTGGACAAAAGTCCTATATTTAAGCTGTATTGCGTGCTGCTATGTACTTACTATAGAACGGGAGCAGAATCTTCGCTGTTTTCCCAAACAGAAAGAACAATCAGCATTGTCAGCATCGGCCATATTTAAACTTTTATATTTTAACTTCAGATAAATCATTTAGCCAAAAACCCGTCACGTTTCTGTTGTGGGTTTCAGGTGGATTTTCTCAGATGTACGCCTGTGTTTGCGACTGGCTCGGGTTTTCATACCGAGAAGAAGTACAGTGGGTAAGTGTATCTGTGTGCACAGGAGCGTATACGCACATGCGCGCCTGAGAATATTCCAGGGTGCGACTGGCTTCTTTCTTTTTTTCTCCCCCACCTCCATTCATCCTCAGATTCTGTGAAAATCTGTCTGTATCATTATCTAATTCTCTTTGCATCCCTCTTCCCTGATCATCTTTGTGGGCTATTTACATGATTGAATTTTATTTCAAATAGGATGTGGATACAATTTATCTGACGCAAGACACCAGGGAATTGAATTTACAAGACTTCAGTCATCTTGACCACAGGTAAGCTACTTCTTTCTTTCCTTCCTTGTACAACTAATTGTGCCTCCAGAACTGTATTTCTCTGCTGGTGCTTACGGACATATGTGATCTCCAGAAAATCCTGTTACGGGGGAAATGGGGAGAATCTCAGCATCTCTGAATCTTGCCTTCCAAGAAGTACTTTCAGATGCGTTCATTTGGGAATGAAGTGCATGTGTGTACCTCAGGTCCAGAGTTTGTGCTTAGAAACTGTGGAGATAGAATTCTTAAGTTCTTGTAGCAGCCCACGAAAGTCTGTATAATCGTCTGCCTCTGTATATGTGATGCGGTATTATTTTGCCTAATGGCCATTAGAACATTTTTCTAGGAGGGAATTTTGTGCTGCAATCCTAAGAAATGACTTTTTGTTTATCATTTCTTTAGGAGTTGGGGATTGCTCGGGTATAGATGCGCATATGTTGGTGGAAATCCATTCGCCAGTATCTGCCTTGTGATAATGATAGTACAACTGTGAATCCTGTTACGTGTTATTTGAGAGACTCCTAGGTCTTAAGACCTTGACTTCTGTATATTTAGGGCGGTGGCTCGCGTGACCAGGCCCCAGAGAAGAAGCTTCATTCAGTCTATCCGAGTTCTTTTGCTCCCTGACAGAGCTGAGCGGTGCCCCAGTGTCTTTGCTGGTGGTTTATCCTGGGTTTCCCAGTCTCCTCCACCCTGGATATCCTGTTACTTATTTTAAGTGGCAGGTATTAGTCCAACCCCAGTGAACCTCAGCCTGGGAAATCTTCCATCCCTGTGTGGAATTGAGAGAGAGAATCCTGGGATTCCGATTGTCCCTTTTATGCCACGCGGACAGTTGGGATTGCAGACAGCGTTACGATCTCTTACCACCAGCATCTTGCCCCGAAAAATGCCATTTCAGGTTATTTCTCCACCTATCTCAGGGAAATCCAGCATTGTACAGGGTGAACCCCTAGGAGTTCAAGCCAACTGAATTGAGCAGAGAACACGGATGCTAGCTGGAGGTAGCTTGTCTCTGCATAGCCGGGCATACGGAGCACGGTGAGGCAGGGTCTGCTGGGTCTGTCGTTGTGACCGAAATCAAGTGCCGATAGCCCCTGGTTCTCAAGCTTGGATCTGCTTCCTTCTTGTGGAGCAGGCAGTTTCTTTTCCTGATTAGGGCCGATCTCCCTCTTTCTACATACGAGGGAACTTCATACTCCCATTCAGGCTTGCCTCTTTCCTGTGTAGCTTGTGAAAAAAGTGAACTGAGAAACGAAAAGGGAGAATATCTGCTCTGCAAGTTTTTTTTTTACAATAAAAACAGAAAATGGCACGTAGAATAAGAGAAGTGGGTAGGCTTGCCGTATCAGAGCTCAGTGTTTTTGGCTCTGGGATCCCTTTATTGTTCTTGAAAACGGTTGAGCTTTTGTTTATGTGGGTATATCTTTTGGTACTGATCATCTTAGAAATTAAAACTAAAATTAAAAACATTGATTAATTCCTTGAAAGATCTCAATAAGCCTATTACATGTTAACGTCGGTACTAGTTTTATGAAAAATAACTATTTTCCAAGACAAAAAATAAGTCCGCCAGAAGAGTGCATTCGTTTACCTTTTTGCTGATCACTTTATCTTCGAAACCTCATAGAAGACTGCTCACTCTGTTGTGATTCGTGGCCCTGAGTGAAATACATTAAGAAAATGCAGACTTAAGCGGACACGTAGTTAGAAGAGGGAGTATTTTTAATAACCTTTTCATTAAGCTATGGATATTCTTCTTTGATTGTTCACCACAACTCAGTAAGAGATGGTTTTCTAAAGATCACTTGGCAGGGTGCAGTCTGAAACTGTTCAATGCACATTTTGTTACATTAAAATGCATTTGGTCCATCTTGTACTTTGATGGGTCCTATCTTTAGATGATTTTGTAGCATCCTGCATTGGTCATTTAGAAAATACTGGTTTGCGGAGTTTTGCATGGCGTCCAGATATTCCGCTGTTGTACGAAAGGGAGAAAAGAAGACATCTGTTAGCACCGCTGATCTCATCCAGAAAGTCTCGAAGTGTGGCAAAGCTGTCAAGCTCATTGTGGCAGATAAAGGTCTCCCCAAATTTAAATTTTTTTTTGAAGATATAATTTTACTATTGGAAAAAAGTGCTGTCAGGTGATTTCCTTGAAGTGACTGGCTAACTTTTTACGCCTTAGAGAAAATACCCGCTAAATCCCAAGTCTCGATAACTGTGTTTTGTCATTTCTTTCATGGTGTTCTTTGAAAAAAGGGAGCTAGTTCTGCTTCTCACTCTCACAGGAATACTTTACCTGAGACAGTGACCCCCTTTGGTACGTAGAGGAAGCATTTTGTGCATACTTCTGTTTTGTCACACAGGCATGTACTCAAGGGCTGAGATTTAATAACGTGAGTACTTTTTGCTGCTTCATTAGGGGCATTCTTAAAGGAACTGGCATTTGTTTAAAGCAGCTGGGTGCGTGGTGGTGGAGAACAGTGACCAGCATCCCAGCTTGGCGCTGCTGAGTTGGTTCCTGCTGAAGCCCGAGCCTTTTCCCACTGTCCCTTCTCTACCCACCATGCAGACATCTCCACGGCGTAAAGGACAATTGGTTTTCGTGTTACTATGAAAATACTTTTGAACTTGTGAAGCCCCTAAGGGCGTCTCAGGGTTTCCCTGGGGTCCCTGGACCCTAGTTGGAGTGAAGACATTGTGTAAGGCAACTAGAGGTGTTTCTCCAGGTTTCTGTTACCCCCTTAATGATTTTTACATCATTCGTAGGTTCTGCATAGTGGCAGTGCTGAATTTTCCAGCTTACCCACTGTGCTTAATTTGGTGATTAATCTGTCACCAGAGGGAAACCGTATCCAGGGAAGCTGCTAATAAATACGGTTACCTGAAAAATGTAGAAATATGTAGAATCCTATCCACAAGTGAGAAACCTTGTCAAAACTTAGAATTTTCCTACAGATCTTTCCTAATTCCTTAGCTGGAGAATTTTCAGTTTGTCAGGAAACACTGCATTCATAATCATCTACTTACCTGTTTAAGGGCTAGACGGATGTTCTTCATTACTGAGACTTTAGATGATAACGTGGAATACTTTTTCTGTAAAGGGCCAGATAGTAAGTATTTTAGGGCTTTATGGGGCAGAGAGTCACTGTTGCAATTATGCGCTGCTGCTGGTGTAGATTGAAAGCAGCTCCAGACAGTACGTGATCGAATGAGTGTGACTGTGTTCCAATAAAACTTACAAAAGTACGCACTGTGGGCTCTGGTTTGCTCATGCCTGTTCTGCATCAGTAGCCTCTCACGTGGGATGTAGATACCCAAAGAAAAATGCAAGATGAGCTACCAAAAAAAATAGAAAAATGATGAGCTTCATTTTAAAATATCTATCTTTGTTTTATAATATATAATGCTATTACTATTGTAGTATTTAGCATATAATAATTATGTAAAATTAGGGAGTTTTTGCAGTGGGCTAAACAGCGGGCATCATTGCTCTAGATGTCCTCTTTCCTACTAGTGCCTAAATAATTTGACTTTTTTTTTTTTTAAGATTTTATTATTTATTTGACAGAGAGGGACAAAGCAAGAGAGGGAACA